ATAGATAGATAGATAGATAGATAGATAGATAGATATAGATATAGATAGATAAATAGATGATAGATGATAGATAGATAGATGATAGATAGATAGATAGATATAGATATATATCAAGCTGTATTTTTCAGCAGATGGTAACCTTTATAAAAATAATTATGAATATTAGCATGTGACATAATCCTGAGGAAAATGTAATAGAATTCAAGCAGAGGGATCCATTTGCAGAAAATACATTAAAGAAAAAGAACAATATTAGATTTATTTATATTACTAAGTAGGATATTTTCTTCAGCATTTTTCAAGGTAGGAGTCGTATAGCTTCAGGTCTTATATTTCCAAGGATACAAGGCTTTTGTCTGCATTTAAACAGTCTCTTTTTTTTTAAAAAAAAAAGCACATTATAAGAGTTTATTCCCAATACAAGATCAACTAATGCTCATTTTAATTAAGCGTTGAGGAAGAAATGTTTAGTTTAAAATAAATCATATTACAATCCTGACCTGAAGCACAACATGACGTTAAAAAGAATAAAATGCAGAATTGTAACTATCTACATAAAAGACAGATGAAGATAATCAGAATCTCTTTTATTAGTTAAGCATGACTTGTTTTCTGAAATGTCTAAAAGTAAGAACCTGGTCTAGGCATTTTCTGGGAATAGAACTATAGAAATTAGTTCTATTAAAGCATTCCAGAGGGAAACACTATCTTGACATAACATCTAATGCAATTCTCAGTGTCCCAAATATGGAAAGTTATTTGAGATCCTTCTAAAGTAAAAGATATGACAATTATTTTTTTAAAGGCTATAAAAATCAGGATGAGATTCCAAAGTAACATTTTACATCTTGCAGCAAAGAACAGATCAGGATGATACAAGGTAGTCCTTGACTTACGACCACAATTAGAAAGAGAATTTCCATTGCTAAGCAAGGTTAAGAGTTCCATTGTTAAGTGAACCATGCTCAATTTTAGGACCATTTTTTGCCATGGTTGCTAAGTGATTCACTGTTCTTAAGTGAGTCATGAAGCTGTTAATTATCGTATTTTTCGGAGTATAAGACACACTTTTTTCCCTCAAAAAAGAGGGTGAAAATCTGGGTGCGTCTTATACACTGAATACAGACAGCATTTTTTTGTCTCCTGAAACCCTGCCCCTTCACCAAAATGGCCATGCATAGCTTGTAGAAGGCTTTCAGAGAGCTCATGGGGGCTGGGGAGGGTAGAAATGAGCAAAAAATGGGCTGTTTTTTGCTCAATTTTGCCCCCCAGGCCCCAGGAACACTCCATAAGCTTCCTAATGCCCTTTTTTTGACAAAAACAGGCCCGTTTTTTGCTCATTTTTGTCCCCCCCGGAGCACTCTACAAGCCTCCTAAAAGCTATTCATGCCTTTTTTTGGAAAAAAAAACATGTTTT